CGCCGAAGGAATGTAGGATCGCTATGTCTCGCTTTTGCGACAAAAAGCCTCCATCAGCAACATTAAATAGTAATATCTAAAAATAAAATTCCTTCACATACATAATCATGGCTATAATTAAATTACCTTTAATAAACATTTTTAAAATAGTAACTTCTAAAAATAAATTGACAGCTAATCACCTAAAGACAATACATTTCTTTATAAATAATTTACAAGCAGTGTAAGGGAGGTAATTTGACAATATGTGTTTGAATTACCTCCCTTACACTGCTTTAAAATTATGTTTTGTACTTAAGTAATTGTCCATTAACCTGGAAACCCTTTTTTTCCCCTTTTTTTGCCCCTAATTCCTATGAGTATGGGTATACTCATATGGTCCGACCATACGCGGACCTTATGAGTATATACTCGTTTGGTTATTAACGGGCCAGACCATATAGGTATTTTTGGAATAAATTCAAACTTCCTTAACAGACACAGCTCGTTCTTTGAACCAAAATCAGCACAAGTTATTAACTGAAATCCTTTATCTTTGTTACATATTGTCTGAATCTTGGTATATTTGTTGTCTTGCCCTTGCTATCTATAGTCAATTTTATGCACCTTTATTCTGTCGACAGTTTCGTCCATGGGTACGTGAATCCATAGGTGTTTGGGGCATGAACATTTTTTTCTTTTCCCCAGCGTTTAGATTAGATTTTCTTTAATTTCTTCTAATTTCCACTTATTTTCACTTAACTGGTATGTTCATACTCTTATTCATATGATCTTACAATAACAGTGGTTTCCATATAAGAATAGACGGCAGCATGTATAAACCAAGGCTTCCAAAACGGTCATATATTCCGGACATTTGTATAATGTCCGGTAAAAGTCCAGCTGGGCAAAGCATGAAACGGTCATCTACTTTTTAGTTTTCAAGGCTTTCTTAAGAGACAGTCATTTTAACATAATTCGCGATCTTTTTGACCCAAACTTTTGCCTTTAACAGCCACACATTTCCGGTCATAAAAGTGACATGATCATTAAGTACTATCAAAACTACCCCTATTTTAATACCTTCTCATTTTAATTAAGGCTAATTAGTTGTAGAACAGCTGAAATTTACCTGTTCAGCTGACAGGTAAACTATTTTGAACCGGACATTGATCGGTCTAATCAACTGAGTTATTTTCTTACATTTCAGCGGTTTGCATCTAATTAATTTAGTCAAAAAGATTTAAATTATCAGAAATACGTTTACAAATATGATTTGATGAAAAAATTTAGAAAGGTAAAATGAAAAATCGTCATAACCACGTTGTTTGAACCAGAGACATGTCTCTGTTTGAACTAGTACACGTGTGCGCATGTGAGCAGGTGTGAAATTTAATTATGCATCCTAATTTCTTCAAAAAATGCTTAAATTGTCATTGATACCTTTATCTCACGTTTATTTCGAATATTTTCTTGAAGAAATAACGTAGAAAGAGCTACATGTTTCAACTCACTCATGCTTTGCAAACGTACACGGAATTTACGTATCCGTCTCTGGTCCATGTTTTACCATTGTGAAGATAACATCCGGTATTAGATTTAATCAAAGAGCTTAAGAGCTCTGAGGGAAAAGACGGCCATTGTTTCTATTTTTTTGGGGTATCTTTTGATAGTCTTCATTCAAAGAATGAGCAAAAGAACAGCTAGAACATGTAGAAAGGTTGACAATATTGAAATTAATTGTTTTTAATGTAATATCATTTCCTTAGTCAAGAATTCATCATGGAGTCAATTTGGACCAATGGAAGAGATCGGCACCTTCTAAATCAAAACATTTGATTAAAGTTGAAAGTTAATTATTTAAAATTCAATTGAATTCTATCATTTAATAACTTCTACAATATATTTTAATTTTTTTTTTTTTGTGTACCACTGAACTGCAGGCTAGGGTCATTCTCCATTTTTTGTGACAGTGCTCTAAGATTTTTAATTGATTACAACTTTCTCAAGTTAGTGTGGACTGAAAAGTCTATTCAGTTTTAAATTTCCATTGATGAAGTTCCCAGTTACAACTCTCATCACAGGGATACATGTACTTACAAAAATCAATCAGATTGATATAAGCTGTGTGCAGCTTGTTTCAAATTCCTACATTTTGATATATGCAAATTTCATGAATAAATATGTTTAAACTACAAAAAGCAACATTTGAAAATTTCATAATTTTTTTACCATTATGCTGGTACACAAAATTTTGTTTAAATGGAAGACTACTTATCATATAATAAATGTCACATTTTAAGAGTTCAGATACATTAACTTTTATTTTGGTGGATAATTACTCATCAATTGAGGTGCTCCTGTATTGGAGAAAGATTCTCAATATAGTTACAGAAAGAATGAAAACAGTCGTTTCTCTCCCCAATCTCATGTATCCCCATTGTTTACCGCGAAGTTGACCTACAAATTAAAGCATTGATGTTGGAGTCATCTACAGCAAACATAATTATGTTTAAATAAACAAATACCGATTTTAAAATCGTACACGATTTCTGTGAATGATTTTAATAATGAGTAAAGGATATCCCTTCTTCTACGTAGTGTGGAATTCCAACTATGATGTCACTAGGTTGGATATATTTAGAATATTTCGTAATACTGATTTTTCCGGATTGTAAAAGAAACGTAAATAGTGAAAGGGAGAGCTCAAGATACGATAATTTCACGAGAAACAGAAGGGAAATGTGTAAAAATGTGTTTAAAGTCAATCTGTTCATTTGTGTGTCTCCTTCTCATCAATTCAGTATGAAACTTTGAGGTGTTTTCCCAACTATAAAAACAAAATGATGGACGTGAGAAGCTTGGAAGTCTGGCCAACCAAATAGGGAATTGACGGCTTGATGCTGTCTTTCCCCAAAAACTAAAGTAAAGTTTTTGACAACGTTATTTTGCACAAATAAAGAGTCTAAGGCAGATATAAGTACGCTGATGTTGCACACTTGGAATGATGCACTGCCAATTTAACAGTTTACGTCAGAACTTCGAATTTGAATCAAAGAAAGTTTAATATCGTTTTTTTTCTAATGTCAATCATTGGGATGGCCAACTCGGCAACTGATTACCATAATTGCCTTTTGTTTATTTAGTTTTTGAGGGATTAAAATTGGGATAATATATAAAATGTCTGGCTGGCTAAAAATAATTTTGGAAGCCCTGGTATAAACTACTGTAATTGTAAATCGTATAAAGAGGAGCATGAACAAATTAAATAACTGAATATAATTTGAAATCTTTAAGAAATCTTAATTTACAAACTGAAACACCAAAATGAGGAAAATAGGGGGTTCAATGCTCCAATTGCTAATGTGTAAAACAGTTGACTTCTTGCTTAACTTGTTTCGTAAAGACAAAAATGCTTCTATTATATTTTGACTTGTGAGTAAAATTCATCTTATTTCATTAATCACGTTACAATGATTACCAAATTATTATCTAAGTCAAATTTCATTTTTCGAAACTCTTAATCTATGACACCTTGAAGGCCTAGGGTTATGCCTTACGCCATTACTGTTCAAGGCTCGTCATATAAATTACCCGGACCATATGAATATATACGCATATGGTCATGACCATTGACCATACGCGTATGGTCCAAATATTCATATGGTACGGAACATAAATAAAATTGCATTACCCTTTGATGTTTCAGAATAAAATATATATTACTTGTTATCGAGTCTTTGACTTTTGTCGCAAAAGCGAGACATAGCGATCCTACATTCCGTCGGCGGCAGCCACAAATATTCACTCTGTGGTTAAAGTTCTTCAAATTTTAATAACTTTCTTAAACTATCCTGGATTTGTACCATACTTGGACAGAAGCTTGTTTATGATCATAAGATAATATTCAAAAGTAAATTTTGTTAAAAAAAAAAATCCTGTTTATCCGTATTTTACTTATAAATGGACTTAGTTTTTCTGCCAGTTAACATTACATTCACTCTGTGGTTAAAGTTTTCAAGATTTAAATAACTTTCTTAAACTATCCTGGATTTGTACCAAACTTGGACAGAAGCTTGTTTATGATCAAAAGCTAGTATCTAGAAGGAAATTTTGTAAAAAAAAAAATTTCCTGTTTTTCCGTATATTACTTATAAATGGACTTAGTTTTTCTTCCAGTTAACATTACATACAGTCTGCAGTTAAAGTTTTTAAAACATTTATTAGATTCATAAACCATCCTGGATTCTTACCAAACTTGAACAGAAGCTTCTTACATTCAAAAGATAGTATCTAGAGGAAAATTTTTAATAATTATTTCCCCATTTTTGTTGAGCCTGCGAATAACAGCAAAAGTAGGCGAGACACTGGGTTCCGCAGTACCATTACGAATTTTTTTGTTTTTATATTTCCTTGCTTTTATTAAATTGAGTTTTATATTTACATTTCTTCTAAATATATATTTTAGTGATGCATGTTGTAGTTAATCAAATTTACTAATTACAGTTTATCATACATGTATTGTAACATATTAAAATCATTCAGAGTAACATTTTTTAGTTTTGCCTTTTCATTTTGCATTTAAGATTTTTTTTCTAATTTCAGTACATTACAGAAAATTTTCTGGTTTTATTTTCCAAAATATCTAGGTTGCCTCAATCTTTCAATAATGGCTTAATTTTTTTCATCCATTAAACGAGCAAAAAGTTCAAGAATCTTTAGAGACTAGATCAAAGGTGGAATCTTTATTATATTTAAGGGTGACAAATGTGTGGAAATAGATGGTATAAATGAACTGTGAAGTGTTCAACAAAATACATATTTTCTTAAGGATTGTAGTCAGAATTTATCAAAACAATGAAATCAAATGATGCCAAAAAACTTTCAACAAATCTTTAAGTTCATGGAAGAATAACTATAACTCCACTCACATCCTTGTGACTAAAGATTTCTAGCATTGGTAAGAAACAAGAGATTTATTCAGAATGTAAAGACAACTGCACAATGTATTATGACCTAACCTTTGGGGGTTGTTTCTGTAATTCTGCCATATATTTTTCCAAGTTGATGCGTTTTCTCTTATTCAATTCAGCTTGTCTGTGTTGCATATGCAGGGCCACTAACTGTTTCTTTTCAGCTTGGTCAGCTTGCTCATATCCACTGTACAATCTCTGAAATCTCTGAATATTATTTTCTATATATTAGATTGAAATCAATATTATATAAAGGATTAATACCTGTAATGCATCAAAATGAGGCTATCAAAAGGAACCAAACCATGTTTTTCTTACGTTTATTAGTCTGTTAGTGTCAATGTTAAAGCAATCAACGGCATTAACAGATAAAATAAAATGCTCCGCAGGGCGCAGCTTGATACGACCGCAAAGGTCGAACCCTGAACAGTTGGGGCAAGCATGGACACAACATTCAAGCTTGATACAGCTTTGCATTTGCATTGTGATTAAATATTTGACACAGCATAGGTTTCTGACACAGAATGAATGTGGTCTAAGAACTTAAAAATTTTAAATTGGACATTCACCTATTATGGTCCAATATCCAAAATCTAAATACATGGTTAGATTCAGCATATCAAAGAACCCCAAGAATTCAATTTTTGATGAAATCAAACAAAGTTTAATTTTGGACCCTTTTGACCTCAATGTGGACAAAGTTGATAACGGGGCCCAAAAATCAAAAATCTAAATACATGGTTAGATTCAGCATATCAAAGAACCCCATATATTCAATTTTTGTTGAAATCAAACAAAGTTTAATTTTGGACCCCGATTTGGACCAACTTGAAAACTGGGCCCATAATCAAAAATCTAAATACATCTTTAAATTCAGCATATCAAAGAACCCTAAGAATTCAATTTTTGTTAAAATCAAACTAAGTTTAATTTTGGACCCTTTGGACCTTAATGTAGACCAATTTGAAAACGGAACCAAAAATTAAGAATCTAATTACACGGTTAGATTCGGCATATCAAAGAACCCCAATAATTCAATTTTTGATGAAATCAAACAAAGTTTAATTTTGGACCCTTTGGACTTCAATGTGGACCAATTTAAAAATGGGGCCCAAAATCCAAAAACTAAATACACGGTTAGATTCAGCATATTAAAGAACCCCAAGAATTCAAGAATAAAACCCCATTGAAATTGGTCAAGAAATAAGCAATTTATACGAAGTATCTTCTTTTGCACAATACTGTGCAATTAAATATTTCTTGCTATTGCGCAATACTGTACAATTGACAATTTCTTGCTATTGTGCAATATTGTGCTATTGGATATTTCTTGCTATTGCGCAATACTGTGCAATTGAAGATTTCTTGCTATTGCGCAATACTGTGCAATTGAAGATTTCTTGTTATTGTGCAATACTGTGCAATTGAAAATTTCTTGCTATTGCACAATACTTATTATATAATAATTTACACATCCTGTTTGGTGTGTATCTCCTACCATATCATTATTATTTGCTTTAAAATATAAATCAGAAATAACCAACTTAAAATGGAAAATTTTAAAAGAAAAAAAAAAGGAAAAAAAGGAAAAAAAATAAAATCCATCCCCCCAAATTTTTTGAACCCCCTTATGATTCATCACCCCCAGACTCAATCCCAGCCTTCCCTTTGTGGTATGGTACCTTGCAGTACAATTTCAGAGAGATCCATACACTTGAACACAAGTTATTGTCTGGAAACTAGAAAAATGTGTTTTTTGGCCCCTTTTTTGCCCCAAATTCCTAAACGTTTAGGGCAATTACCCCCAAATTCAAACCCAACTTTCCCTTTGTGATATGGAACCTTGAAGTACAATTTCAGAAAGATCCATACACTTCCACACAAGTTATTGTCCTGAAACTAGAAAAATGCTTGTTTTTTGCCACTTTTTGGCCCCTAATTCCTAAAATATTGAGGCAATTACCCCCATCATCAATCCCAGCCTTCCCTTTGTGGTATGGTACCTTGCAGTACAATTTCAGAGAGATCCATACACTTGAACACAAGTTATTGTCTGGAAACTAGAAAAATGCTTATTTTTGGCCCCTTTTTGGCCCCCAATTCCTAAACGTTTCGGCAATTACCCCTAAACTCAATTCCAGCTTTCCCTTTGTGATATGGAACCTTGTAGTACAATTTCAGAAAGATCCATACACTAACACACAAGTTATTGTCCTGAAACTAGAAAAATGCTTATTTTTGGCCCCCTTTTGGCCCTTTATTCCTAAACATTTTGAGCAATTACCCCCAAACTCAATTCCAGCTTTCCCTTTGCGATATGGAACCTTGTAGTACAATTTCAGAAAGATCCATACACTTACACACAAGTTATTGTCATGAAACTAGAAAAATGCTTGTTTTTTGCCCTTTTTTGGCCCCTAATTCCTAAAATTTTGAGGCAATTACCCCCAAAATCAATCCCAGCATTCCTTTTGTGATATGGAACCTTGTGGTACAATGTCAGAGAGATCCATACACTAACACACAAGTTATGTCTGGAAGTTACAAAAATGCTTATTTTTGGCCCCTAATTCCTTAACTGTTGGTACCATAACCCCCAAAATCAATCCCAACCTTCCTTTTGTGGTATTGAACCTTGTGGTAAAATTTCATAGAGATCCATTCACTTAAACTAAAGTTAGAGTGCGAAAACCAATGTGTCTTCGGATGACGCCCGACGACGACGACGCCAACGTCATACCAATATACGACCACAAAAATTTTTTTGCAGTCGTATAAAAAGGATCACAACTCCTGAACAGCAAAAGGTGAAAATCGTCAATATCAATTTGACCATTATGTCATCATCAAACAACATATTGAAATTTGGAAAGCATTAATGGTTGAATGGTTCTAAAGGTATTGCACAGAAACAGGTTGAGCAGGGTGTGCCCACTTTACTACTCAAAATTAATATTTGGATTTTTCCATTAAAAAACCCGGTTAAAATCATTTTTGCTCTCCACATCGCTCCAGGTAATCATACATCAGTTGTTCCATGCTTTATTAATATATATCATAATTTGAATTCAATTTTTGTTCCCTTGATAACCTCAACTGCAGATAAACTGTTTCCTCTTAAATACTCTTCAACATGTTCAATGTATATATAAATATTGGATCCAGTTATACAATGTTATAAACTAAGAAAAGACAAGCTTTCTGAGGGTATTGCATATGCAAAACAGTGTCCCCTTCTGGCTGCAGGGGTCACCACACCAGGCGAAATGAGTGACATTATCACATTACAAATTACAATATTGCTCGAAATAAACTGGTTACAGCCGAATTCGGTCTTAAATTTTCTGCAGTATATTACGCCAAAATTAAAATAGCCAGGCAGGGTGCAGATTACCGGTATAGAGAATATTATAAGTAAGAAATTAGAGAAAAACTCGTTTTTGCCAAGTTTGTTTAAGTCCCGCCATGTTAGTCATGTTAGTTATTGAAATTGTAGAGGGCCTCCTGATTTCTTATCAAAACTCTTATAATTTACCTAATCCGTATTAATATGCAATTCTAATTTAAATAAATGGAGAATGTGTCCATGAGACACAGATGATGCCCCTGCTTGCATATAATGTTATAAAGGGGCATAACTCCAGAACAGTAAACATTAAGTGCATACATGTGATGGACTGTGAAACTCAGATCAGGAGATTGGGAAATTTTGGTCAGGAGATAAGGACTCAGATCAGGAGGTTTTTCATCGACATAAATTTTGTCGTAAATGTAACCGTATGATGTAGAAATTGTCTTTTAAAGTGTTTTTTCTTCAACCTTCCATCCAATGTAATGTGTTTATAGTACCTTTGTAGCCTTTCTATTTGAATGATATCACATTGCTGAAAGAAATATTGAGAAGATTCTGTTTCTTGCTTTGTTTTTGATAATTGATTGTTGACTGCTTGTAAATAAAGCACTATGACCTTTTCTTTGTGTATAGATTTGTATTCATGTCTCCATCTCCTTTTATTTGTATTTAATATCATTGGTATAGATAAATAAGAAAGAATTATGCTATACATTTATACCATGATAAATAAATGAAAAAAAAATAACAAACAATAACAATAGCATGGTTTTTAAGCATTAAGAAAGTCATTTTTTCTAGAAAACTTAAGATTCAAACAGTGTAAAATATTTTACTATTTTTAGCTAAATCACTGTCTATACCATTGACAAATATTATTTAATAACTGAATCACTGGTCTTTGACACTGGGTCATGTAAGAAGTACAACTGTACAAGCTGAGTTGGCTGCTTTCAATAAACTTGATTCTGCACTAAATATATAAAGTAATCCTGATCCTGGTAACAGTTTGTTGATTTTTATACTGAGGATGCTGTGAATTGTCTTTGAGTCAATGTTTTCTGCTGTCAGTTTGGATCTTGTTGAGAATGATGAAAATCCTTTAAAGTATGCATTGAAGTGCGAAATAGGTAGTTCTTTTTGGTTTTTTAATGAGTTGAAAAACCTTCCAATATTGGCAATAATGTTTTGACAACAACATTCCACTTTTCAAATGTCTTTTCTATCATTGCCGGTATTTCCCTTTAATCATCCATTGCGTGTGCCATAGACAGAGCCATATTGATTAATTAATATTCTATCACCTGAGCTGACACCTGTTTATTATGCAATTAAGCTATTATCACTTGTTACATGTAATTAGCCGCCAGGTAAAAATCTACATGTGTTGTGTATAAATCAGGTAATGTCAGTTACACCGGATATGTTCGGTACTCTCGGGTTTTTTGGTCTTCAATAACAAACATTTGTAAACATTGTAGTAAAAAAAATTGCGCCTGAAAATTTTCAGTCATGAAATATTTTATAAACGGGATTTTTTTTCACTTCAACGGGAGGACGGGAGGAGACCCCTGAAAACAGGATTATTGTACTCCCTTCGGGAGGTTCACATGTATGTAAGTGATAAATATATCATGGGATGCATTAAACAAATGTGATTTTCAATTTGAAAAAGTTTTTTTTTTTTCATGATTTATTAATATTATTAACATTAATAAATTTGATCATCATTAATTCATAGAAAAATAAGCTTTATATTTCTTATACTTTTATATGTAGAACATGGAGTAGATGTGCATGGGACAAAATTGGTTATATGATTAGAGAACGAAAAAGGAAGATTCAGCAATTTTTATGTTTATAAAGGGGCATAACTTAAGAACGGAAAAAGTGACGCCACCCAAATTTAAACTTGATCTGTATTATGTAATAATAAGCATTGTCTATAAGTTTTATAACATTTGGTTGAGGCAAACTAAAGTTACAGAACAAAAACAAAATAATTCATCAATTTTTCCATTTGAAAACAAACATAACTCTAGAAAAGTAAAAGTGACACCACCAAAATTCAAACTTGATCTGTATTTTATGGTAATAAGCATTGTGTATAAATTTCATAACATTTGGTTGAGGCAAACTAAAGTTAGAGAATGGAAACGAAAAATTCAGCAATTTTTATGTTTATACAGGGGCATAACTCAAGAACTGTAAAAGTCATGCCACCCAATTTTGATCTTGATCTGTATTATGTGGTAATAAGAGTTGTGTATAAGTTTCATAGCATTTGGTTGAGGCAAAGTAAAGTAAGAGAACGGAAACGAAAAATTCAGCTATTTTTATGTTTATACAGGGGCATAACTCAAGAGCGGTAAAAGTGACGCCACCCAATTTTTAACCTGATCTGTATTATGTGGTAATAAGCATAGTGTATAAGTTTCATAACATTTGGTTGAGGCATACTAAAGTTAGAGAACGGAAATCAACTTTGGGACGTACGGACAATGGTAAAACTTAATGCCCCCTCCGCTTGGCGGGGGTAGAAAAAAAATTTGTTTACCCCCCCCCCCCCCCTAGAAAAATGCTTGTTTTTGGCCTCTTTTTGGCCCCTAATTCCTAAACAGTTGGGACCATCACCCCCAAAAACAATCCCAACCTTCCTTTTGTGGTATTGAACCATTTGGTTAAATTTCATAGAGATCCATTCATTTAAACTAAATTTATTGTCCGGAAACCAAATGTCTTCGGACAACGACATGATAGCAATATACGACCCCAAAATTTTTTTGGGGTCGTATAATAATACTATCACAACACTGCAGCCGGAAACAGCATGCCTAAGTCCAGCCAACTCTGAACAAAAAACTAGTTTCACATAGCCTGAGCTTCAAATATAATACAGTTATCTCTTTTCTAATGCAAAATAAACAAATCAATCCCTTCAAGTCATAATTTACATGAGTATAATAATAGGTTTTTCATGGATCAGAAACTGGTTTTCCTTCATCAGCACATAAATTTTCCTTTTATTTTAATTTTTTTTGTGTTTCATTTTGTTATAACCCTCAATCAGTCAGCAACCTATTTGTAAGTGTATATTTCATAGATAAAATAGAGAATGGAAACAGGGAATCACTGTTTTCTATATTTTTCATGTCTATTATATATTTGTTTTTCTTCAACATTGCTAATTCATGATTGCTAGTTTTACTTATCAGTTTTAAATAATATATTTACACAGATGAGTTAAAATACCTGCATAATATCTTTGTTGAGTTTTTCAGCACCCTTAGGATTTGACTCCTTTAATCTGTTTACATTGGTTCTTGCTTCTTGCCATTCTTTCATCATCTGAAAATGGAAACAATACTTATTGCTACTACTAATTTCAACTTATCTAAGTATCATTTATAGCTAAAAGGGGCGGATCAAGTGTTCAAAGGTCCACTGAAAATAAAGGATCCCAGCATTTAAACATAAAATTAAAGTGATCCAAATCATTGGTGGAAAGATTAGAAAAGTTTTGTACATACCTACAATCATATTTTAGTTTTCAATTGAGGAAGGTGGTATAGCAGACTTGACAAAATCCATAAAACTTAATTTTGTTGCCTTATTTTTTTTGCTGTGTACTAAGAAGGAAATGAAATTTTATTTTGCTAAATGGAAATCAATGTGTAATCTTTACTGCAAATTATTTGACCTGATTATAAGAAACTTTTAAAAACCTTTAAGAAGTTATCTCTTTTATCATATAGAGTTGTATGAAAATGGGATTTTTATTAAGAAGAGAAGAAAATTTTGGAAACTAAGGCCTAAATTAAAATTATATTTGTTTGCCCTTCTCTGACCCGAACAATGTATTTGCAATATCTAAAAAGAAATTTTTTTTATTCATTTTGTCTGTCTGCATAATTGGTATTGATAAGTATTGTGATCAATGGCAGAAATGATTTCTCTGGATAAATATTAAGCATCTATCATTGTCTATGTTTCAAAACATCGGAGTGATGCATGAGATCTGGATGGGGATAACAGAAAGAGAATAATGTAAAAATAATTTAATGAATAGAGAATAAAATGCTTCGCTGAGCGCAGCCTGATACGACCGCAGAAGTCGAACCCTGAACAGTTGGTACAAATTTGGACACAATATTCAAGCTTGATACTGTCTGAATTTGGATTGTGATCAAATTTTTGACATAATATAGATTTCTGACACAAAATAAATGTGGTCAAAGATCTTACAAATCTATTACGCAATACTGTGCAATTGAAGATTTCTTCTTGAAACTTTTCAAAAATTCAAAATTTGAAAAATTTTGAAATAAAAATAAGAATCCTCTAAAAAAATTGGAAAAAAAAATCCCCCCCCCCCCCCCAACTTTTTGAAACCCCCCTTGGAGCAATAACCCAAAAACTTGATCCCAGCCTTTCCTTTGTAGTATGGAACCTTGTAGTACAATTTCAGAGAGATCCATACACTTAAACACAAGTTATTGTCTGGAAACTAGAATAAACTACTTCGCGGAGTGCAGCTGGATACGCCCGCAGAGGTCCAACCCTGAACAGTTGGGGCAAAAATGGACACAATATTCCAAGCTTGATACAGGTCTGAATTTGGATTGTATTAAATATTTCAAATATTATAGGTTTCTGAATAAATGTAGTCAAAGAACTTGAAATTGGTTATATAAATTTAATTTATATTCAATTAAAGATTTCTTGCTGTTGTGCAATACACTGTGCTGTTGCGCAATATTTAGTAAATCTGTTGTCAGACTATAAACAATTAAAGTTCAATTAATTCTCAATGTCATATTAGAAATTTATGAAAATGTAAAGGGAGCTTACATCAATAGATATAAACAATTCACCAAAGTTTCATGAGAATTGCTGACAGCATTTTTGAGTTATTGTCCGAAAACTGGAAAATCCCCCCCTTTTTTAATGAATAAAACCCCATAACTCAGAAATGTAAAATGTAAAATTTATAAAATTCTAAACGGAGCTTACATCAATAGATATAAACAATTCACCAAAGTTTCATAAGAACTGCTGAAAGTATTTTTGATTTTTCGTCCGAAAACTGGAAAATCCCCCTTTTTTTATGAATAAAACCCTGTAACTCGGAAACGTAGAATCTAAAATATATAAAAATCGAAAGAGAGCTCATGTCAATAGATATAAACAATTCACCACAATTTCTTGCAAGTTGGTGAAAGCATTCTTGAGTTATTGTCCAAAAACTGGAAAATCCCCCTTTTTTTAATGAATAAAACCCAATTACTCGGAAACGTAAAATCTAAAATTTATAAAAAACGAAAGGGGGCTCACGTCAATAGATATGAACAATTCACCAAAGTTTTATGTAAATTGGTTAAAGTGTTTTTGAGTTAATGTCCAACATGTTGACGACGGACGGACAGACGGACGGACGGACAGACGGACAATGGTATACCATAATACGTCCCGTAAACGGGCGTATAAAAATGCTTGTTTTTTGGCCCCTTTTTTGCCCCTAATTCCTGAACGTTTGGGGCAATTACCCCCAAACTCAATCCCAGCCTTCCCTATGTGATATGGAACCTTGTGGTACAATTTCAGAGAGATCCATACACTTACACACAAGTTATTGTCCGGAAACTACAAAAATGCGTTTTTGGCCCCTTTTTGGCCCTTAATTCCTAAACTGTTGGTACCATAACATCCAATAAAATGCTCCGCAGGGCGCAGCTTGATACGACCGCAGAGGTCGAACCCTGAACAGTTGGGGGAAGTATGGACACAACATTCAAGCTTGATACAGCTTTGGATTTGGATTGTGATTAAATATTTGACACAGCATAGGTTTCTAACACAGATTGAATGTGGTCTAAGAACTTAAAAATTTTAAATTGGACATTCACCTATTATGGTCCAATATCCAAAATCTAAATACATGGTTAGATTCAGCATATCAAAGAACCCCAAGAATTCAATTTTTGATGAAATCAAACAAAGTTTAATTTTGGACCCTTTTGACCTCAATGTGGACAAAGTTGATAACGGGGCCCAAAAATCAAAAATCTAAATACATGGTTAGATTCAGCATATCAAAGAACCCCATATATTCAATTTTTGTTGAAATCAAACAAAGTTTAATTTTGGACCCCGATTTGGACCAACTTGAAAACTTGGCCCATAATCAAAAATCTAAATACATGTTTAGATTCAGCATATCAAAGAACCCTAAGAATTCAATTTTTGTTAAAATCAAACTAAGTTTAATTTTGGACCCTTTGGACCTTAATGTAGACCAATTTGAAAACGGAACCAAAAATTAAGAATCTAAATACACGGTTAGATTCGGCATATCAAAGAACCCCAAGTTTTCAATTTTTGATGAAATCAAACAAAGTTTAATTTTGGACCCTTTTGACCTCAATGTGGACAAAGTTGATAACGGGGCCCAAAAATCAAAAATCTAAATACATGGTTAGTTTCAGCATATCAAAGAACCCCATATATTCAATTTTTGTTGAAATCAAACAAAGTTTAATTTTGGACCCCGATTTGGACCAACTTGAAAACTGGGCCCATAATCAAAAATCTAAATACATGTTTAGATTCAGCATATCAAAGAACCCTAAGAATTCAATTTTTGTTAAAATCAAACTAAGTTTAATTTTGGACCCTTTGGACCTTAATGTAGACCAATTTGAAAACGGAACCAAAATTTAAGAATCTAAATACACAGTTAGATTCGGCATATCAAAGAACCCCAATAATTCAATTTTTGATGAAATCAAACAAAGTTTAATTTTGGACCCTTTGGACCTCAATGTGGACCAATTTAAAAACGGGGCCCAAAATCCAAAAACTAAATACACGGTTAGATTCAGCATATTAAAGAACCCCATGAAATCAAGAATAAAACCCCATTGAAATTGGTCAAGAAATAAGCAATTTATAGGAAGTATCTTCTTTTGCACAATCCTGTGCTATTAAATATTTCTTGCTATTGCGCAATACTGTACAATTGACAATTTCTTGCTATTGGGCAATATTGTGCTATTGGATATTTCTTGCTATTGCGCAATACTGTGCAATTGAAGATTTCTTGCTATTGCGCAATACTGTGCAATTGAAGATTTCTTGCTATTGTGCAATACTGTGCAATTGAAAATTTCTTGCTATTGCACAATACTTATTATATAATAATTTACTCATCCTGTTTGGTGTGTATCTCCTACCATATCATTATTATTTGATTTTAAATATAAATCAGAAATAACCAACTTAAAATGGAAAATTTTAAAAGAAACAAAAAAGGAAAAAAAGAAAAAAAAGGGAAAAAAAATAAATCCCCCCCCCAAAATTTTTTGAACCCCCATTATGATTCATCACCCCCAAACTCAATCCCAGCCTTCCCTTTGTGGTATGGTACCTTGCAGTACAATTTCAGAGAGACCCATACACTTGAACACAAGTTATTGTCTGGAAACTAGAAAAAAATGTGTTTTTTGGCCCCTTTTTGGCCCCAAATTCCTAAACGTTTAGGGCAACTACCCCCAAACTCAAACCCAGCTTTCCCTTTGTGATACGGAACCTTGTAGTACAATTTCAGAAAGATCCATACACTTACACACAAGTTATTGTCATGAAACTAGAAAAATGCTTGTTTTTTGCCCCTTTTTTGGCCCCTAATTCCTAAAATTTGGAGGCAATTACCCCCAAAATCAATCCCAGCATTCCTTTAGTGATATTGAACCTTGTGGTACAATGTCAGAGAGATCCATACACTAACACACAAGTTATGTCTGGAAGTTACAAAAATGCTTATTTTTGGCCCCTTTTTGGCCCCTTATTCCTTTACTGTTATTACCATAACCCCCAAAATCAATCCCAACCTTCCTTTTGTGGTATTGAACCTTGTGGTAAAATTTCATAAAGATCCATTCACTTAAACTAAAGTTAGAGTGCGAAAACCAATGTGTCTTCGGACGACGCCAGACGACGCCGGACGACGACGACGACGACGACGACGCCGGACGACGACGACGCCAACGTCATACCAATATACGACCACAAAAATTTTTTTGCGGTCGTATAAAAATCAATCCCAACCTTCCTTTTGTGGTATTGGACCTTCTGGTAAAATGTTATAGAGATCCATTCACTTAAACTAAAGATATTGTCTGGAAACCAAATGTGTCTTCGGACGACGTCGACATTATAGGACGCAAAAAATTGTTTGCGGTTGTATAAAAAAAAAGATAATAAATAAATAAAGAATGTATCCATGGGACACAGATACCCCTGCTTGTTAATATACAGCAAATTTTGCATTTTTTTTTTAATTTACAAAG